TCTGGAATTCAGGTTTGGTTTCCCAGGGCGAAGAGAAAACTTTCTGTCAGGTAAATTGCCAGATCAAATACTTAAATATGCTCTTTAAGAGTTTCCAAGCAGCCTTCTAAGTATAATTTATGTTTGCCTGATGATGCAGCAGGAAGAAAACTGTTTCTGAATAACCAAGCAACTGCAGCTTTAGGTCAGCTGTGTTGGACTATTCTGGAAGAGGAAAGTGGAGTTGGGCACCTTAGGTGACAGACAGTTCATTGTGTAGCGTTCCTACAGCAAAGAAGGGACAAGGGTTGACCAAAGACAAAGGAAAGGACAGTTGTGCTGGTCCCATGGGGAAGGCAAAGCTTTCACTAGAGACTAGGGGGCCCAGGAACTCAACAAGGGACCCAAGATAATCACATCAGAAAGGAGGCATTTTGCATAAGCCCCTTAGAATAGAAATTCAGTGAGGATTAAAGAAAGGAGTAAGATAAAGCAGCCTTGTCTTTCCAAGTCCAAGGACAGTACCCAAGGGGTGGGCCCAAGTCTCCTGTCACAGTGAGAGCCTAGAGCTCTGTGTCTACCTGAGAACATGAATTTTGACCCCATACTTATCTTTCTTCCTTTCTCAAATGATGGCCAAATAGAACAGGGGGATAACCTGGAAGATTTTAAGACGTCTATCTGCCTTCTACTTCTGACGTAACTATGGCCTCCCAAATTTTCAAATCTTAATGCAGTTCAGGAAAAAGGAAAACCCGAGGATTAGCGTCTGGCTGCATGATCCTCCCTGCACAAGCATCACGTCCCAGAGAGAAATAAAATGCAAAGCTAAGAGACAAGAATGCCGTTGATGTCTGAGAGAAGAATGCTTTTTATTGCCAAGTTGAAATACGTTATGCCGGCTATTGTATGGAAACGGAAAAAGCAGGTGCTCAATTTCATCTGAGGAAAACTGTCCCATTGGCCTCCAGGGCAAGGAATACTTACCTAAGAAAATTAAGAGGCAATTTCCATGGGACTGAACAGTCTCCACTCTTCCCAAATTCGTTTCTATGTCCATCTTCCTGATCTGCCTCAACAGCTGAGCTGAACACTAACTAAATGGAAAAGCTCTATACACATATTCAATCAATCGGAGTTTTGCATTCGATGCTCTAGGACTGGTATTGGCAAACCATAACCTGTGGGCCAAATCCAGCCCATTGCCTGGTTCTGTAAATAAAGTTTAGTTGGGACACAGAACCATGCTCATTCATCTGTGTATTATTTATGGATGCTTCCATACTGCAACCCCAGACCTGTGTAGTTGTAACAGACTAATGCAACCCAAAGCCAAAAATATTTACTATCTGGCCCTTTACAGAAAAACTTTGCCAGTCTTGGTCCAGAACGTCACAGTCCACATTCTGCAGAGCAGAGGTTATTGATCCTGCGGGGTCTATAAACTGCACTCCACTCCCCTCCCCTCAACAAAACATGTTTGCAAAACTACGTGTTCCATGTACCATGTGCGTTTTCCTAGGGAAAAGGTCCTAGCTTTCAACAGATTCCTAAAGAAATCCAGAGTACCCCAATTAAAGCCAAAGAAAACCAAAGAGCATCTTTAGCTGCCAGCATATTAACAGTGCTAAAACACACACACATGCGTGCACACACACACACACCCCTAGACAAGAGGAACACAGACCTTCTACAATAAAATCTCTCTTTTTTTCTATTCTGATAGGGTTGGTTTGATAGCTTCCACCTCCCAGATTTTACTCTGACATTTTTCCACCTGAATATGTAAATTTTCAGGGGTCCAATTAACAACTGCATCTTCTATTTGCTAATTCAATAAAAAATGGAAGGTTGCTTTTAAGCCAGCAAATCTCCCTCTAAGTCATAGAGAGGCATTAAGAAGACAAAATCCCCAGCACGATAGAGATTTAATTCATTTTACTTGATCTGACCAACTCCAATGAATTTTATGAATATATGAATCTTCCCTTCAAGGCCACAGGCAGTCACATCACCAAAACAAGCATTTGGCGGGGGGGGGGGGGGGGGGGGGGGGGGGGGGATCAGGAACTGGGCATCCATTGCACTTTTAAGCCAAAGATTAAGCATTTTGTTAGACGACTTTGGGAGAAACAGAGTAGTTTCTCTGAGCAGAGCTAATGAAGCCTCTTGGTCAAGAAAAGCATTTTTAGTGTTAAAAACTATGAAAACATTAGCCCTTCTCTGTCACTTTTGTGACTACCTTCCAAAGACACTAAATCAAATGCACTTGGAGAAGCCAGGGGTCATGTTAGTCTCAGGGCTGGCTTCCTCAAATGCTGAGGCTAATGAGTATTTCATGTCCTAGACTTGGACGTCTGACATTTCAGGACTAACAAAGAGCACAGGAGGGTAGGACCACAATTAAAAAGCTAATCAACCAAAGGTAACCATAAACAATAATAATGCTGATGCACAATGAGTGGAGTAATATAGAGGGTCGAGTGACCTGTGTGTATGTACAGGAGACCTTCCAACTTATATCAACTTAAATATGGTTTACACATCTCTCTCTTTATTTTAAAATTAGTTTAGAACTTATAACACGGTTCACACACACACACACACACACACACACACACACACACTCTAGAATTTAGACTCGTAAGTCTAGCAAGCCATTCTACTTGAGCACATAAGATATCTAATCACCATGTTGTACATCATTTCTATGGGGACAACGTATTCCAAGTTCCAAGTCAGTATTCCAGGAACACGCCCTCTCTGATGTGGCGTGTGAAATATGCCAATTCCCAGGCCCCGCCCTGGACCAATGAAATCCCAAACTTGGCACAGGCAGTGTTCACCAGCTCCCAGTTGATTCCAGTGTGCATCAGGTTGAGAACCATTGACAAACTCCTTCTCTGTCTCAGTACGATTGTTTTGCAAGTTTGGGCCCTGGGTTCACAAACTGGAGAGGCGAATGCATGAGAACACACTCGGTTAAGAATATTTCTAAGTAGAAACCGCACTGAACAACAGGTATGAGTTGTCTGACTCAGACCAGAACGAGGTTTTGCCTTACATACTCCACCAAAAGCTGTGACGGAGGGACCTCCGAGTTTTCTAGTACTTGCTTTTTTCATTAAACAGATGAAGAAAAGAAGGAATACAGTTGTGATGTTTTTTTCTCTTGGTCTCAACAAGGAAAACCGCCCAATTTAGTAAGGTAGGTGAGAAAGAGAATGGCCATAATCACTGGGATAATACACTTTTCCCGGCTGGAAGAAGATGAGGAACAGAGGTAGCTTTAAAGAAGATGAAACTACATTTGATCAAACAGGTATCTCTTGGAACTAGGGATACAAAGAAGTGTACGGGAGGGCCATACTCACTCTGGGCAACTGCTCTGAGCCAGACAAAAGACAAGAACGAGGGGAAAATGCAGACACAGAAAAACTAACGACTGCATTTCAAAATCTAAAAGGGAAAGAAGAGAAGATTTTCAGGAGGAATAATCTCCATATCTGTGAACTTGAGGCAAAGAAAGAAAGAGAGGGAGTTCTCTTCTTCCTTTCTCATCAAAATTCTCCATCGTTGTCCTTCAAGAATAGCCTCATGTAAACCCAACGTCCAAAAGCCATGTTTGCTGGTTATTATCGGTTTACAGCTTCCCTGCATCAATTCACTCACTTTTCATCAAGGAACCTAGAGAACCTAGGGCCATATTTAGTCTTAAGAAAGAGCTTTCACTGCTTTGTCCACCTGCCGGGAACCCATAATGGCACTAGCCTCCTACGGAGGCTCCTACCCCGTGCTGCTGTGTGCTACTGAAGTGAAGTGTGGCCTCAACCACTGGCATTCGGGCCGTCTATTCCTAGGAACTAATTCAACCTTCCCCATTATCTCCTATCCTGTCAAAGAACTTTTATTTTCCTGTATTGCAGCCCTCCCATCAATAGTAAGGCTTCTTTATTGAACAAGGGGGAAGAAGAAAAGAAAGCAAAATCTTAACACAAAGGCAAACCTTGGGGCTTATGCATCGTAAGGAGGGACAGAGGCAGAAGAAGGCACCAATTCTCAGTGTGGTTTGACATGACATCTCCTCTCAGAACTGACATGTATCCTCCCTGCTAAGTAGAGATGTCCACAGAAGCCACTTGGCGGAGCTTGGGACTTATCAAATATACACAGGCACACATGTAGAAGGGTAGATAGGTGATAAAAAACTGCATCAGGAATCACATTCCATTAATACCACAAAGGCCAAGAGAACCCAACTCGTGACTCTGAGATGCGACAAAAGTGATTTTATGTTTCCCGAAGTTGGGGAAAGGGTATGACTGGGATACCTCACCACTTCACCTGAAATATGTGGTTACTACCCAGGAGTTGAGCAGAAATCTAAGGACGTGGCAAGCAGCCACAACAGCTGAACAGGTGTTTTACAAAGAAGAGCTCCTCACTGTTATTGTTATAATACTCTTAAAGATGCATATTAAATAGTTTCCTCTGGACCACAGACACGACTGAACTTAAAAATAAAAGCCCTATAAATATTGCCAACCCAACCTTGCCTCTTGTATCTCCCTCTTTGCATAAAATGGAATCTTTTCAACCAAGCACTTAAACATAAATATTAAAATAATAAGTGGGACAGACTACAGATCTACTTACAATTTCATCACTACGGTAGCACCTTTTGACCAGGGCCAATGCATTCGTTTTATGAAGAACAAGAGAAGTCTGAGAAGCTTAAGGACTCATATGACACATCATTAAATATTTAATCACCTTTTTAAGTCCTAAGCCTTTGCCATATTTCATCCATCTAGACAGTTCATTCTATACTATAGATTCCAAGGCCCCCTTTGGAGGGGAAAAAAAGGAAAAGAAAAGAACAGAAAATGGGGGAAAACAACCTTCTGAGAGGCAGGATTAAATTATCGCAAGGATGAGTTTCTATTGGTGCTTTAGTGAACCTGCTTCACCCTGTAAACCCACCAATCCACAGGAGGGCCAACCAATTGAGTCCACGGTATTTAGTCTCCAAGAATCAATTTTACAAAAGATGCCACGTCTGTTGCTTTGGATTCGTGTAGGGTGAAAAATGGATGTTGCTGCAAGAGAAAAGAGGAACACATGGTATTAATATTCAGCACTGACAATACATGAGATTAGCAACTTAACAGATGTGTTTGGTAAACAGATTAAAGTACCCCTATTAGGATTAAACTGGACTCTTCCAACCTCTTCCCAAGTCAAGTATACGCCTAGTGATGAGGACATTCTAAAGATAACTTTTATGAAAAGCCTCCCATTTTGATATGTTTCTGCTACAGAGTATTTATCAAGTATATGCCTAGTGATGAGGACATTTTAAAGATAACTTTTGGGGCGCCTGGGTGGCGCAGTCGGTTAAGCGTCCGACTTCAGCCAGGTCACGATCTCACGGTCCGTGAGTTCCAGCCCCGCGTCGGGCTCTGGGCTGATGGCTCAGAGCCTGGAGCCTGTTTCCGATTCTGTGTCTCCCTCTCTCTCTGCCCCTCGCCTGTTCATGCTCTGTCTCTCTCTGTCCCAAAAATAAATAAACGTTGAAAAAAAAAAAATAAAGATAACTTTTATTGTAAGCCTCCCATTTTGATATGTTTCTGCTACAGAGTATTTATTACTTGGAAAATATATGTAATTAGGCTATATAAACCCCACCTATGGTAAAATACAAGGATTGGCAAAGACAGCCCGGACTCTGATTTACAAATAACCCTGTCCCCTACAAAGTAATTTTAGACTGACACAGTGGTAAAATAGTGAGAAATTTCATAGATTTATGCACACTGATTTCTCAAGAATTGGATAGCAGAAGGAGAAACCAATTTTTGTAGCATAGTAAATGGGCAAAGCATTGCTTTCCCTTGACCCTGGAGAGCTGGTTTGAACTGAAACAGTTAACAAAGCCACTCTCTAAGCCACATCGACAGCCACGAGTTGTACTTATGTCTCTCTTAATGAAGAGTTGATCCATCTGGAAAATAATGCAAACTGCCAAACTCTAGGTATGTGCAGAGAAATTCAACTTGGAGATTAAAGATTGAAAAGCAAAAAGAAAAAAAAAATCTCTATTCATGCAGCTCAGATTAAGCAAACTTCACAAAAATGCCATAGCAGGGGCACCTGGGTGGCTCAGTCGGTTAAGCGTCCGACTTCGGCTCAGGTCATGATCTCACGGTCCGTGGGTTCGAGCCCCGCGTCGGGCTCTGTGCTGACAGCTCAGAGCCTGGAGCCTGTTTCAGATTCTGTGTCTCCCTCTTTCTCTGACCCTCCCCTGTTCATGCTCTCTCTCTCTCTGTCTCAAAAAATAAATAAATGTTAAAAAAAAATTAAGAAAAAAAGCCATAGTGAGCGCAGGCATAGTGGGTCCAAGAGGCCACACAGTGGAACAATTCTGAAGAAAATGAAGCCATTTTCTCTGCACCAGCATGACCCTCCCCCAAAGGCACAATTTTGTTACAGTAAGTTCCCAGGTGTCACACTGGAACCTCACACCTCTAACATAAAGGAGATACATCAACTCACGAACCATAGTTCTAACAGTGGGAAACAGAATCCAACAAACAATCCAAAAAGGATGATTCCTTTGGGTAGAACCTAGTGCCAGTGTCATCTTCCACCTGTCAGGTACACCCTCCCCTCCGTCATGGCCACCTCTCTCATTGTCTGGTGGTATTATTTTCAGTGCCTAGTTGAGCCGCTAAATAGGAGTGTTTCTGCACGCAGACATGTAGACGACTCGCTTCGTTTCTCCCTGACTTTGGGGATGTTAGCTTATCACCTTCATGTTGCCCCAGCGGTAGGTTTTCTCACTGTATGTGTTTTAAACCTGACGGCACAGGGCTAGATGAGCCAGCTCTGTGGGGAACTGAATGCCCACCCATTGAAGGTTTAGGAAGCCATGCAAATGGGAAGAGAACAAAGGAATGAAACCCAAAAGAAGGTAGGTGGTCGCTGGTCAGTATCGTGACTCAAAACATGGAAAAGAGGCTTTCTGCTTTTGCGCATCTAGAAGATACAGGTTGGGTGTTGGCTCAGAGCCTTACCCCCACCATATTAACCAAAGTTCTAGATGCCGGGTCCTGCGTTCTGAGCTCCTTACCCAAATAAATAGCACAGTTACTTCCGATTACTAACCACTTATGCAGCACACTTACCAAGGGCTTTACCATCATGCTTATTAGCTTTCCCACATCCTCTGACATTTCGAGATCTCTTAGTGTACTTAAAAGTTTTTACTATCAAAACAGGACATGTCAAACCTCAGATTGTGTCCATGACTACTGCCGATGCCTGCCAGCCCTATCTTGCCTCTGGTTCTGCTCTGGAGGTTAGCTCAGTGAGGGTAGCCTTAGTCTGTGAATGAATCGAATGACCTAAACCGACGTCTTTAAGAAAAAGAGTCCTCAGGCATCTTTTAGCATTCCCGGGCTGGGAAAATGCTGTGAGAGTCAGAGGACAGGGGGAGGGGAGGACAGGCCGGCATGTCAAAATGGAAAGTGTGACTTGCCTTCTTGTGTGGGTTTTGAGGCTGTAAAAGGTTGGGAGAGAAGCCAGTCCCTTCTATAAGCAATAGACTAGGAATAGCAAGGCCAGCAACTCGGAGATGAGCAAATGAGGCATCATGGATTCCTCTCCCCAGGCTGCGTTTTTCTAAAAAGGAGCCAGCTACAGCAAGGGAGGACATTGCCAATGGTTGTGCCTGGAGAAAACATGGAGATCCGAGAACACACTGCCGGGAGCACTGGGGCGAGCCGCAGTCACCGATGGTCACCATATCTTCTACACAACACCTCGTCCCTCATGACTATCATTTCCTATGGGTTCAATCATCCTTGCTCAGCACTTTGATTCAATCTAGAACTTCCCAGGATATTCAAAGAACATAATCACCTCCCTGGGCAATCATCTGCATCACCTGATTATCATTTCTGGTGGTTATCATCTGGGATTGGGGGTCAACAATCAATGTTCCAGGGGCCAAATCTAGCCCACTGCCTATTCGTGAAGTAAAGGTGTATGGGAACACAGCCACACCATCTGTTTACATATTGGATAGAGCTGCTCTCACACTAAAACAACGGAGTTGAATAGCAGCCCACAAAGCCGGAAACATTTCCTATCTAACCCTTTACGGAGCAAGCTGGCTGGTCCCCACTCTAGAGGAACAAACCCTACTGAGTCATGTCCCTCAGTGGGAGTTTGAGAGAACAAGGAGATGATGGTGAAGCATGTACACCCTCCATCCCAGTTAGGGGAAAAACATGTGAGATTTCTATAAGGGGTACATGTCTGGGTTGGCGCCTTAATTATACTGTCCTTCACCTGGAAAAAGGATTTTTTTCCCGTCTTCACCAACTCCTACAATGTAAACAATAGTCTCTCAGCATGTGTTTTCCCAATGCTAAAGTCAAAGAGTTTGGACTCAGATTTTCCACTTAAAAACCTCAATTCCACAGGAAAGCAGGAAGCAGTTATAGCCTTAAAAGGCAAATCCATTTCCAGTCACAAAGGCAAATGCCATAAAAAGAACTGGGGGTGGGGGGAGGGGAGCACATGACCTTATAACATTAATACGTAGACCATAAAAGACCACAGCATTAGAACATAATGGAAAGGTGGAATTCAACATCACTCGCTCATGTATACGAAGCTAGAACTCAGCATTTTTTTTCCCAAATGTGTTTCACTGAAACCTCTGATAAGAGGCCCCTCGGAAGGGAAAAAAATGTTCTGCATTTTAAACAGGCAGAAATATATAGAAAGTGCTCTTCTCCTTCTGAAAATAGGGACAAACAAGACAACTTTAAAATAGGAGTACAGGCTTCATAAGACACCCCAGAAATCACCCCATGTCCATTGCACTTTATGTGAAATTAATTTTAAAATGCTCTGGAGGTTGCATAAGTATATCCAAAAAGGGTAGCCAGGACTGAAAAGGCCCCCGACTGGCTATTAAAAATATAGCCAGAGAGGAAATGTCCAGCCCAAACAGGTGGTATGCTAAGTTTTCTCAAGCAATTACGCATCCTCTTTCCTCCCTCCACTGTGGGTCACAGTTGAATACAGCCAACAGAATGCTAAGTCCCAGGGGATGCCTTTTTATAGGGGACAATTGCTGCCCCAAGGAGACCACCTTTTCTATTCTGGAACTCTCCCCAGGGTTCTTTTATGGTCCCTCAATCGGAGAATGGTTCAGACTGAAATCAAATTTTAACCAACAGAGCTGAAAATCCATGTGATTGGCTGTGACCATCACCTATTGTGTGGATTGGCTTTCTGTAAGTCTTTCTGGCTTGACATCTCCAAGCTATACTTTTTCTTTCCTTTTTTCCAACTTTACTGGAATAGAATTGGCTTATAGCATTGTGTGAGTTTAAGTATACAATGTGGCGATTTGGTACATATTTATATATTATGAAATAATCACCACGATAATACCATCCATCACCTCACATAGTTAGCATTCTTTTTTTTGTGTGATGAGAACCTTTAAGATCTAGTCTCCTAGCAACTTTCAAGTATGCAACACAATATCATTAACTATGCTGTTAACTATTAACGGTGCTATGCACATTCCATCCATGTTGCCACAAACAGCAGAATTTTTTTTAAGGCTGAATAATATTCCATTGCATGTGTATGTGTGTGTAACAAGTGTTCTTTTCTTTTTTTAATGTTTATTTGAGAGAGAGAGAGAGAGAGATTGAGAGAGAGCGAGCATGCAGGCGCATACACAAGTGGGTGAGGGGCAGAGACAGGAAGACACAGAATCTGAAGCAGGTGCCAGGCTCTGAGCTGTCAGCACAGAGCCCGTGGCGGGCTGGAACCCACGAACCATGAGATCATGACCTGAGCTGAAGTCGGATGCCCAACCGACTGAGCCACCTAGGCGCCCCTCGTGTGTTCTTTATCCATTCATGCACTGATGGGCATTTACATTGTTTCTATGCCTTTTGCTACTGTAAATAATGCTGCAGTGAACATGCGGATCCAGATGCTTCCTCAAGATAGTGATTCCGTTGCCTGAGACATTACACCCAGAAGCGAGATGTCTCGATCATACGATATTTCTATTTTTCTTTTTTTGAGGAACGCCCACACTGCTCTCCATACTGGCTGTATTAATCTGCATTCCCAGCAGCAGTATACCAGGGTTCTCTTTTCTCTACCACCTCACCAACACTTGTTGTTTCTTATCTTTTTGGTAACAGTCATTCTAACAGGTGTAGTTTGGATTGGCATTTCCCCGGTGACCAGTGATGACGAGCATCTCTTCGTGTACTTGTTGGCAAAAACCTCGTGGGACTACTTCAAACCAAAACCTTCTGCGCAGCAAAAGAAACAGCCAATGGAAGGAAATGGCAACCCACACAATGGGAGAAAATATTTGCAAACCACATATCTGATAAGTGGATAATATTCAAAATATATCTTAAAAACTCATACCACTCAATCGCAAAAAAAAAAAAAAAATCTGATTTTTTTTTTTAAATGGGCAAAGGACCTGAGAAGACATTTTTCCAAAGAAGATATACAAATGGCAGGGGGGCCTGGGTGGCTCAGTCGGCGAAGCGTCCGACTTCGGCTCAGGTCACGATCTTACGGTTTGTGAGTCCGAGCCCCGCGTCGGGCTCTGTGCTGACAGCTCAGCGCCTGGAGCCTCCTCCAGATTCTGTGTCTCCCTCTCTCTCTGCACCCTCACCCCCCGCTTGCACTCTGTGTGTGTCTCCCTCTCAGAAATAAAATAAAAATTAAAAAGAAAAAGAAATGATGTCAATGTTTGCTCTTATTTCTACCAAACAAAACTTCCTTCCCCCGCTAAAATTAAAACCTTGATACTTGAAATAAATCTAGGGAATGGTTAATGCAAATTAGCAAATAGTCAGAATTTAATCATTTCCCCCCCCAAGTGTGTTTGAACATACAATGAGATAAACGTTCCCAAGTTTAGGTGCTCACCATCTATGCTAAAGAACCATGTGTAATTAGCTCAAACTTGGGAGTTACCACAATTTCAGAGAATCTATTTTTAGACAAAAATTCTGAGATCCTATTCTCACCCCTTCTTTTCATAGTTTGTGCAAATGGTAAGCTGTGAATGCAGAGGTAGGACAATGGAAACTAAGAAGGCTTGGTGAAAACCAGAAGGAGAAAACAGTCTATCCCCCCTAAACACTCACCGAAAAGAATTCATCCCAAATATGTTATCAAAACCTGATGAGTTGTCCAGCACTTTTTCCCCTCATTACAGAAATCCTTTAAATCATGCTTCCCTTCATTTATAAGTGGTGGCTCTTGGTATCATAAGAACTTGAAAATATAAATTTTTATAGGCATCTAGTGTATATGATAACCAGTTTACCAATGTGGAAAAAATTACAAAGCAAGGCGACCCGCCCCAGGTCATGCTAAAGAGGGGTTTAGGAAGCACAAAGGACTCGACTCTTGTTTTCTCGAATTCACTTCCATGTCAATGAACCAGCTCCTCCAACAAGGTTGTTTGATTATAATTTGGGTCTTAGTCACTCCACCTTTGCTAGCTGTGGGTCAGGACAGGTTTACGCTGGGAACCATACGTACCATAAGTTCTGGATACGTTGGCCGTTCTTTGGAATTCTTCTTCAAGCTTAAAGAAAAAAATGAATCACATTAAAACCTAGGAACCATCTGTATTTTCACTAGCCTAGGACGTCAGAACCTGCAGAAGACTAAACGTAGCCAGCTTTAAAATGTATTGAACCCATAAATCTCCTGTCTTGACTTCCCCCTTTTGTTACACCTTTAAAATTAGGTTTTAAGTCACTCTCGGTGTACCTTAACAGGAAGAAGAGGTGTGCGTGTGCGTGCGTGTGTGTGTGTGTGTGTGTGTGTGTGTGTGTGTGTGCTGCATCCTTTGGTACTTTCAAAAAGTATCCTTTTGATACTTTACCAACAACGTACAAACTAGCTCTCCTGATCTACAGCCATTATATTCCAAATTACAAATCTACTTTCCTTCAAAAGAGCTTTCACTCACCCCTCCCCCCGGGAAAGAAATCGGCAGGTGTTTCTTACATTACATCTGTTATCTCTTCACTCTCTTCAATGCCTGGTTCTCCTGGCTTCCGGTTCCCTTGAATGTATCATTTGCTTTTATATATTCCTAACCGAACCCACCTAAGATAGAAGCAATACCTCCATGAAATGTCTAAAGTAAGGCTACTTGTCTACAACCTCCTAGCTAATGAAAGAGAAAACACCCTCAGTCAGTGCCTAAGCAGTTTTTCTTCTTAGAAATTCTCTGTGGCCGTGCACGATTGTCCAATGGCTCCCATTCTGTATATACAATTGCACATATACACAAATGTCTTAATAACATGTGATACCGGAGGCAACAGTAACAACAACAGTAACTTCTTACTGCAGTGAGACCAACCCTTCCCCTCTATCCTCAACCCACCCCTGTATCCACCCATGGCCTTAAAATAGAAAAAAAGAAAATAAGCAGTTTATTTTGGAGTTGGAATCCCAGGTTACAGAATGAAGAAAAGGAGGATTCTGGAGACTGTGGTTTGCAAGGCAACCTACAGACTCCTCTGCCCACGGGGGCACAAAATCATACATGAATGGAAAGGAAACTTAGCCTGGCATCGAAGTAACCAAAATGTGACTGATCAGTAGGTAGCTGGGATTTGTGCTAATGGATCATTTTGAGCAGATGGGAGCTTATATGTGTGACATGAGCTCTGCTCCTCCCCCAAAGGCTAATAACAACGGCGGGGGGG